ACAACTCATGGTTGGTGTGACCTTTTTTTCTGAAATGCAGGATACCCACACTCAGTGACTTAATTTCAAGTAACCCGAATCTCTCACCACATTTTAAACTTTGGCTTTCTGCCACTTTCCTTAACACAGCTACAAATGCTCTTTCAGCTATTTTTAATTACAAATTATTTACCCGTCTGCTTATACTACTTTTAAAAATAGTTTGAATACATACAACTATAAATGCTTATCCTTGTCCTAAGATCTATTCTTACTATGAACCTAATGCTTACAAGGAAATTTTTGCACTTCTCCCTGGTGCTCTGAAGCGCCTCACATAAAACTTGCAATTAAATGTAATCATTAAACATAGCATTACATCATATTTACGTAAGGACAGTCTACTTTCCTCAAAATTAAATAACAAACACAATAAGTCACGTGTGAGAAAGCAAACATAATATCCAATTAAGTGTCCAGGAGATGTAATTCAGTAACAACTAAGTACACAGTGCTCACATTCAGCGTGCTCATCTGCAGGAGGTGCAGGCAGATTACACCATCATCTGGCCAGCAAAGCCTTGGCCCTGCTCTGCATCACTGGAGGTTTCCATGCTTGCATTCACTACACACTGCTAATGGTTTCTAACGCTGCTTATGTCACAGCTACAAAGTGCTAGACTTGCTGGAAGCAGGGTGAACTGCAAATGCAGTAGAAACCCTGGAAATGACTTCAATTACTTCCCAGTATCACTACCTATAAAGTAAGTGGAGCACAAACAAAACAAACACACTTAATAACAATATAATCACTAACAAATGATAATAAACTTGCTGCAGAAGGGAAGCGTAATACACAGCATTCAAGAGCAATAACTTACTGAAAAGACAAATGGGCTCAGCCAGCACTGCTTGGCTTTTAATCTGCGTCCACAAGTGGGAATCCACAGTTTTTGGGGAAAGAGTCACCAGTGTCACTGTGCAACTTTTACAGCTACAATGCTTTCACCTCAACTCCACAGCATCTTCTCTGCCAGGGAACTCTGCTGATGCACTGTACAAAAAAACCCCATGCTCCCACAGAGGGAGGAAAAACAGGACAGTGGCAACGCTTCTGATTCTGCCGAAGACTGCACAGAAACCACGTACTGAGCTTCAGACAAGGGAGCTCCCGTTCAGGAGCTTGTCTACTGGCCCAGGGCTCACTTCCCACAAAGCCTTCCAGTCATCTGTCAGGTCCAGGGATTATTAATATTCAAAATGTATCTGAAGACCCAGCTTAAGCGGGCAATGTGCAGACAGACAGAGACAAACATCAGCACTTATTTAAGTTTTGAGGATTTCAGAGCTATTAAAAATCCTGAGGCTAGTAAGTCCCAGTTCTGCATTTTGCCAACAAAACTCTCCTTGATGCTCTGCAGGATGTATATTGGTTCTCTGTCTCTGAAGAGGCAGAGATTATTTTCTGCTGAAGTGACTGTCATGAACTCCAGTGGTAGGTATTTTAAAACCTAAGTAGGTTTTGAGAGCTGTACCAGAAGGAAGATTTTCCCATTTAAGTCTCAGACAAGGTTAAAGAAAGAAGAGCCCTCTCCAGCTGAAAAGCAGTTTTCAGGATCAAGTTGTTGTTATTTGCAAGTGAGTACTAAACCAAAATGTGATGTCAACTGTTAGAACGACAGTTCCAAGAATGGGACTGAAAGCTGCAGAATGGAAGATGGGACCTTGCTGTGTTAACTCACTGGCAGCAGTTCAATTTCAGGTTAATAAAAGACATGGATGCCTAAAAACTTCATTACTGAATTGCGTTAGAACTTCATGCTTAGTAAAATACATTTTAACATGTAGCCCACTGAGTTAATTTAAGAAAACGTTAGGAATGCTTTAAATTATTTTGAACAAAATTTTAACAAGCAAAAATCCAAGTGCATGGAGGAGAACAACATACCCACACTACGAAAGTAAGGGAACAACCCCTAGCACAAGAACATCCCACAGCACAGCTACACCTACTGGCCCCCTGGTGTAAGAGGTTCAGTCTATTTCCAGATCACTGTCCTCACTGTAACACGCAGATGGATTATGTATAGAAGTCAGGAGCACTAGGTCTTTTTCTGGAAGCAGACCACACTCCTGCAAAAAAGCCTCCAGGTCAACAGCAAAAAAATCTTCTCCAAGCTGGTCAGTGATCCGCACAAAATTGCCAATAAGCTCCCCTGCCTTATAGACCAGCAAAGCTGGCAGAGCATTACTGGTAAAGCGAGCGCTGGCACCAATGAGCGAACTCTTTACTCTGCAAAACTTAACTGTTGGATACTCAGCAGCCAGACAGATCATGCAGCCATTCAGGGATTCAGCACCAGGGATGTCATCTTCGTAAATATGAATCATGATCAGAGTGCTCTTATGCTCTTTATCAACCGTGTCCAAAAACGCTTCTCCGCTGCTAATCTCAAAGACCTGCTTAAATTGCTGCCCACTGTACAGCTGCTGTCTCATCTCCTCCATTCGCTGCTTCCTGTAGCGCTGTAAAAATTCCTCATCATCTTCATCATTGTGAATCATGTTATATTCTTGTAACGTCATCTAAAAATACACAGAAAGATACATGACAGAGAAAAAAAGACGACCTGCATCACTATATGGGTCTCTTACATAATTAATTTAAATCAAGAGGATTAATATGGGTCACTCATCTTTAATAACAGGCAAGTGCAACCCACAAAGGCTCAAGCACCTGCTGTATTACACTCTATTTTGATCTCATTAGAAACCATGTCCAGTGGGAACAGTTGATTTCAGCCTTGGGTTTGCTAGTTCCCACATGCTGAACTAATAACTCAAGTGGCTGCTCCACGCTCCCACTTTAATTCAGGTTAATGGTAGCTGTGTGCTTTCACTAAGCTCTGAGCACTGATTTGGGTACCGTGCCTGACCTCAGATCTCTTCTCTTTCACCAGCTTTTTCAATGAGCTTTTAAGCAAACATTTATTTGGCAAAACAAGTACAGTACATTACCTCATCAGAAGAAATGAAATCATCAGTTCATGTTTTTTGTTTCTACTCGCCTGCTTTGTTAAATGTATCTACTGACCAGATAAGGATTCATATCTGCTCCACACAAGTAATGAAACAAAAAAATCCAGCAATTAAATGGCAATTCCTTTGTGTCATGTTACCTTTCCATTGATTTTTTCCTGAAGCTCTTTCTGCTTTTGCTTATCAGTCTCCTCATCTAAGTGAGATCTACATGTCATAGACAACTTCTTTATGAGGCGTTCCATTTCTCTGCGCTGCTCCTGTCTCTGTTCTGTCTCCAGTTGTTTAAACCTTCGCCAGTCGTTAATGACTCCTTTTGGACCTGAAATTGAATATGCTGGCATTTAACTATAAAACAGTAACAAAATTACATCTCTTGGTTAAAATTCCAGTAAGTTTATAGAAGCCAGCAGTAAATCAGCAGGCTTATCATAAGGTTTCTGTACAGCATGCAAAATGCTGTAATGAAAGAGAAGAATAGACTTGCCGTTTGTCCTTGAGTTTATAACTGTTTTTGTCCAAAAAGACAAATCTATCTAGCTGAGCTACCTTCAGAACTGTGTTGAAGGTTAACTCAGATTAATATCTAGGCCTTCAAGAACCCCACAACTGCAGGAATGACTCAAATATACCTGAAAATAGGTCTTTTGTTACAACAACAACAAAACAGGAAACCACACAAACTTTCCAACAGAGAAAGTACTTACAAAGCAGTTAGTGTGCTATGGCAATACCTGTGTTGACTGCACTGCCATCGCTGCTAAGCTCTACCTCCCCAACGCTGTCGGGAATGGAGCTCTCCCCTTCTTTGTCTTCCTTCTCACTGTCTTCATCCTCACCCTCACTACTGCTGTAATAATACTGGAGCTTCTCGCCCAGCAGTTTATCATCCAACGCAGTCATTACGTTCTAAAGAATAAACAGAACAGACCATGCACCTCTTAGCTGTGCAGCACAGGACACCACCTTACATGTACAACAGCAGCCTTCATTCCTTCTGAGCAGCTTCTGCCCACACAGGAGCGCTCAGGGCCCACCCCCATACGTCCGACACGTGAGTGAACTCTTAATGACAAACGTATTTAAGTTAACACTCAGGATGAACAAAGCCCTACTTTGTGTCTCAGCACTCAAAAAGCCGCAGTTATAAAGGCTGTTTCTGCAGCGAGGCACACGAGTGGATATCCACACGTTTTTATCCACGGAGAACGAATTTCTAAGCGTGACTCGGGAGCCCCATCCGCCTCCACCACAGCCCTGCAGGCAGGCAGCCCAGCGACGTACCGTTCAGTTTCCGAGAGCGGGAATCGTTCTGCCGGCGGTTCCTCGGAGCAGACAGCGGGCTCAGCAGCGCTCCTGCGGGGCTGCCAGCAACACCTGCGGGGAGATCCGACCGTGAGAGCATCGCACAGCGATGTGCCAACAGCGCGCCCCGAAATAACGCACTGCGGGCAAGCAGCGCCGTGCCGAGGAGAGCCGCGTTCTGTGTTTAACTCAAGAACACAAAACCACAAAACACATCGAGCGAGCGCGGAGGCAGCGCAGGCGGTGCCACAACACTGCGCATAGCGGCTGCAGGCCGAGGGACCGCCGGCACGGCGCAGCACTGCACTGCACGGGAACTCAGCAACACAGCATTGCACGGCACCGCAACACGGCAGCACAGCACCGCACGGCCCCGCCCCAGTCCCCCCCCTCTCCCCCTCCCCCCCACAGCAGGCAGCTCAGACTCTTCCGACGCGGAACCCCGCGGGGCCGGCAGCGCTCCTCGCGCAGTGCCGAGGTTACCGAGGAGCCCGCGGTGCCGCCAAGCCCCGCCGAGCCCCGTCCGACCCGCCCCTCCGAGCCCGGCCCGACGCCTCACCGCCGCCCAAGGCCTTCCGGAGCGCTCCGCGCGGGGCACGGCGGGACGGGGCGGAGCGGAGCGGGGCAGGGCGGCCCGCTGGGCGGGGAGCGCCGCTGGGTGGAACGCACGGAGGCGGTTAAGGTGGACAAATAATTTTTATTTGTGCATGCAAATACATGTCAATACTGCAAACTTCTTCCATCGATTCTCTCAAACACTGAAAACCATGATGCTCTACTCTGTGACCGGCCAAAGCTAAAACCTCTTCACTTCAGTGCTACAGCAAACACGCACGGCCGCCCCGCGCGGGGCCCCCCTACTCTAACACGAGGGAACAGACGAGTCGGGAACTCAAACCGAAATAAACGGAATAGAATTTACTCCCCCATATAACCCCATTTCATTTTACAGATTTTAAATTATAGTTTTAAATAGAAGCTGAGAATGCGCCATAAAAATGAGCATTAAATCCATCGTAGCGATGGTGCCTGCTTTATACATGATGGGTGTACACCATCTTTTATTTCATTTACATTTCAATCGAACAATAGATTTGCAAAGAAAATGTCTAATACAGACGTAAAAATATTCACACTAGAGCTTCACAATCGGTTGTACAATTGACAAACAGGCCTCTTTTCCCAAACTTTCCAGCTAAGCAAATTTATAAAATGTAATCGATGCAACAAGAAAAAAATTTCCTTAAACTTCCAGGGAAAAGAATACGCAGTAAACAGTATAAATGCGGACAGCAGATGCTGCAAGCTAACCACAATACTTCGGAGTGGCTGTACAGTGGGGATGTGCAGTACAAATCAAAGCCACGTGTGTTGTATCACAACTACCGTATAATATACTTGTTTGCCCAGCTACGAAATGCATGCATCCCATGCCTCGGATTCACGGAGATCTACTCTGGGTAAGTCAATGGGCTCTGGGCAGCAACCCTGGCTTTCGGCAGCGAGAGAAGCAGGCTCTGCTCGAGTTCAGCCTTGGCGGCAACCTCTCGACCACGACTGGAGGTGCAGGGTACGTTTGGATTTGGGAATGTCAGCGATTCCTTTTTGGCTTTCCCCGTCACCGACAGCTCCCTTCCCTCGCTGTGCTCCCTTGCCAGCAAAGAGACGCACAGTGCTGCCTGCTGCCAAAGCGCTGCTCGATTATCCTGAAAACTGGGTTATTCCAAAGCACGTTTGTTGTGTTCTGCTTGCAGAAGAGGTCCCTCAATGAGAGGGAACTGCCTAACAGAAGGGATCAAACTACAACATAAAGAATGGACTTTTACATACTGTAGATCATTTCTCATTTTGTTACACTCTCAAATTCAACGTCTTCCTTTAAGCCCAATAATAATGAAGAATCTTGTTCACAAAGATGATCAAGGAGCTGCTGGCATACAGTGTCTATGTACAGCAACAGATACAACTTGACAACTTGTGCTTTAAGAAAGCAAACAAAAACATGTTTGGAACTATTCTGAGTGTAGATAGTTATTTTAAGTGTTCTTTCCTCAGCTGTTTCCTACCACTGTGCATTGCTTTGTACCTCATCCAGCCTAGTACACTATTATACAAGAACAGCATTCAGCTCTTGAGCAGAGGATAATTAAAATTGTGCAATAACACAATCATGTTATCAAAGCACTAAAACCTGCCAGATTAGACTTCTACAATGAGCAATTAAGAGCTTATTTAACAATCAGCTGTGTACAGTTTTTTTTTTTTGTTTTTAAATCAAGTGTCAAACTTCAGCATCCCTGTACTAGACTACCAAGAACCAATGCCAGTTTGCTTTGCAAAGAGTCTAACCTTTCCTTTGAAGGGTCTAGTATACATTCTACAATGCAAAATCTGCATAAACACTAAGATTCATTTCTTGTCACCTGTTTACAGGAACAAAATATCAGTAGCAGGGCTATCACTCTGCTATAATTATATGTTAAGAATGTACAGATAATTACTTCTCACACAAGCATTCTCCCAGCAAAAGCATTAGTCTCTATTAAGACCTATGTGGAAAATGAGGCAAAACAAGGAATGAATCCAGGTAGTGAGGCAACACAATTAACTTAGATACTAATAATTCCTGTATCTCTTGCATGTGAAATCCCTGCTGTACCCCTAAGAGGGGAAAAGAAAAGAAAAAAAACACAACAAACAAACTCGAAATGCTTGTCCAAGCAAAGCAAAAGAGCCAATCTCTTTTCCCCAATCTGCTATGGGCCTTTTTTTTTTTTTTTTCTGACAGCAAAGGTATCTTAGGCCAAAAGCTAAATGGGAACCACTGCTATTAATGCACAAAAATTAGTAATTATATCTCAGTGTCAGAAAGTAAGCCCTTCCATAGCCCAGAGGCACCTGATTTGCAACTAGACAAATGAATACATACTTGTTCATAGGGTCAAGGGATGAAACTCCACCAAGAAAGCCAGAACTGGGTTCCCACCTGTAGCTTCTACTTGTCAGGGCACTGGAGGGCATAGTTTCATGGCAAAAATCACACAGTCAGTGTTAGAACTGTAAGACAAAAGCTGGCATGCTATTTAAATGCCCAGGTAATTCTTTTGCCTGTCATTCTCTACATTAAAAATTCAAGAAAATAACTAGTCTCAGTTAAGAACCAACTCTCCATATAAAGTATATGGTCATCCTAGAAACTACTATATCATGGGACCTCCTGCTGCAGGCAAGAGTAGATAGATACATTTGTTCTTATATATGCCAATGTGGTTGGCAGGAATATGTTAGGCTTATGTAACTTCACTGGACAAACAGGCAAATGTGTGTAAGCAGCTTATTCCAATCCCCCTCCAGCAGAGCACAACCAAGTTTTTAAAACTGCAATTTTAAAATTAAAAAGTTAAGGTAAATACACAATCAATTTATGTAGTATATATTCACCCTCAGATCATGCTGAAGATGTTCTGTGGAGTTCTGGTGCACAGAGGGCTCTTTCCCTGAGGGCAAATAAGGACTTCTCAAACCTTTATATTTTCTCTATTTTTGTAACAAAATAGCAATTTAAAATTTAAAAATCTTTTAAAAAAATTACATCACCTTCAACATGGAAGATCTCACTGTTTAAATATCCATGAAAGAGACATACTTGTTTGCATATCTGTTTTGGAATTACATTGTACAGCAAATAATAGTATCTCAGAAGCATTTCAAAAGTAATATAAATTCATATTTACAGAATGGTCTTGGTATAAAATATACAACAATCATATTTATGTCTAACATTCTAAGTTAAGGTTAACATCAATAGGAAATAAATTAAGGTGACAGAGGTGGTCTGGTTCTTGTATCCATTCACTTTGAGTTGCAAGTGAAACAAAGCATCGATCTAACCCTAGCTATGAGGTGGCACTGGCTACAGGAAGGTTCAGCAACAGCCAAAGGAAACTAAAAGACTACTTGACTGTTTTTCTACATACATTCCTTAACATTGGAGTATTAAATAGATGTGTAAGATCTTCCATACTGACACCAGAATATCAAAACTAACCCTTGATTTTCAGGTATATTTACAACATAATTATTTCATGGACAGGTTCATTAGGAGAGATATCAAACACCAATATTTACTCAGTCTAATCAGTAACCCTCAGGGAAATGCCAACCCCCACCCCCCAGAAACGTGCACAAAACAGTTATCAAAATCTTACCCGACCACATAGCTGTGATTTTGTAAAATAACAACTCAGACGACCAGTAACATGATCCTCTTTAAGCATTTTGCTAGCAGGAAAAGCCCTTACATGCAGTACACCTGGTGAAAGATCAGCTTGGCTTAAAATATTCCAGTACAATTTTCAGAGTGAACAACTTCACAGAAGTTAATAAAACAAACAAACAAAAAAGTAAAACTTGTCACAAAGAAAAGTAAGAGGACAAACAAGATGGTAATCATCAGGAGGGAGAGTCCTGCCTTCTTAAAAAAAAAAAAAAAAAAAAAAAAAAAAAGCTGATTAAAAGCTTCTTAAAAACCAAACAAACATCTGCCCAGGGCTCTACTTCGTGTGCATTCATGAAAGAAAAAAAAATATCTTCAGCTGACATGTCTAACAGGATTCTCAGTCACATCTTAACAGGGCATAAATTCATACACTTCTCAGAGCTCTAAAGATCAGATAATGCTATATTATTGTATTTTCAAAGTCTTTCAAAATAAGTTGCCACTGAACAAGCAAAAATTAAACCTGAATATAAAATTATGATTAACAACACTAAATAAAAGGTAATAACTGCCTTAAATTCCCAATATTTAGTTTAAATTAAAAACAAAACAGTACAAAAACAGCAATACCATCTTGTTAGTCAGTGCAAACTCTACATACAGGGTTTTCAAAGGAAAGCAAAGAGCACCTGATACTTTTTGCCAAGTCATCTGGATTCTAATCTGCAAGTTGAGAACCATTAATAAAAAAAAGAACAAACTGCTGTTACATTAGTGTATAACCTCTCAGTATGACTGCAAATTGTTTTGTGTATAACTCGGGAGATCAATACCTAGTACGTTAGCTGGAGGACGTAGGCACTTGGTTTACTTCTGGTAACTTTACTTGGACAAGTAGCCTGTGTACGTGTGTATCTACAGTACTAAAGCAGAAATGTGTGTGTGTGTGTGTATGTGCACGGGGGGAGAAATGGAAACAAAACGCTGCAGCAAAGCACTGCATCACAGACCTGCAAATAACGCAGCAGTGCAAAGCTAATGGTGTGTTAACCCTGTAAAAAGTCTCAAGTCCAAATCCCCACCTCTCAGTCTTCAATCGGGAAACAATACTCCATGCAAAGTTCCACAACTAAGGAAAAAGCAGCTGCAACAAGACACAAGTTCTTCTCTCATGAAACAAAATAGAGACAAATAAGTTAGTCTTCCTTTCACTAGATGTATCATCGTAGGATCCTGCTAGTTTAAATAACTGAGTTGTTAGTTTTCTACAGAAGCCATTTTAAACAAGAATGGCTCAGATACCGCACCGGATTGCTACAAACTCATAAAAAGCTGCTTTAAGCTTAAGTAAAACAATGTCCAAATTCCATTCATCTGTGGAAAGTGAACGCCTTACCCTAGTAAAGTAAGTTTTTTTTCTTCAGAATGCTAATGCGAGAGGGGCTTGAAGTATCAAAGAGTCCACAGGAAATGCATGACCCCAATATTATTCTTTAAAAAAAATATACATTATATAATATATATTATATATATAAAAAGCTAGTGTAAATGCTTCCACGGTGTGGTCACAAGCTGGAAAGATGAATGCCTTTCAGCTGTTAACCATCCTGCCATTTGCAACAGGCTTTAAAAAGTCATTTTTATCCTCAGACATAATGTGAGCAGTTTTCAAAATGAGGCTGCCAACACTGACTGATGTGCTGATGGGCAGGCAGCTTGCATTGCTAACAGATGTTGTGATCGGCTGACTGAAGCAAGAAGTTACGGGCAGGATTGTTTTCTGCTCCTCCCTGAGGAGAAAAATAAGTTACACAAATATTAAACAAGTACATGCACAAGTATCCAGAACTGAATTTCTGTGCATTAAATAAATAATGACAAACTCATTTTTAGAAACAGGAATAACATCTTACTATGGAAAGGTATGCTCAGGATGTTAAATGCAGTCTGCCTCATTTTCAAAGACTGCATTATACATTAAAAACTATAGAACATATAAACCTAAAATAGTGTATTTTTAAAACTACCTCTCTATAGAGATTTGTGCAAACAGTCTGAAACTCAACCTTTTGGAATTTTTCTAAATTTCTGGCAACTATAAAAATACTTTCAGATTTTTTGCTTACTGAGTAGTGAAAGGTATTTTTAACAGCTGTGACCTGTTCCAGCACACGATTACAGCAATGCATACAAACAATGGTACCACCCTGTGACTTTCACATTTGTGACCTCATTTGACTTCTTAACAGGTTCTTCTCATTTCACCACATATACACAATGCAGATGTCTAACCCAAGTCTGAACAGGTGCGCAGTTCATCCTTAAACACACAACTATTTTGCTGCTTCTGTTTGTCTAAAACTGGCAGACACTGCTGTTTTGTCTAACACTCACAGAATCACAAGGTCTTCACCTAAACTTTGTCTCTTCTGTTCCATAGATTCTTTCTGGTGCTGCTTTAGTGGATGCCCATTCTCTACAGTTGTTCCATTGAGCAGCTGATCATCTTGAGAACTGATACCTAGCTGTATGTCCAGAATCTCCTATAGGAAGAAGGAAAAAATGTTATTGATGATGTAGCTACCAGCTTTAGATTCTCCTATTATGCCCTCCTATGTTAAACTGATGGAAATTTGAGTTTCTTCATTAGACTCCTTATTTTTTACATCATATAATTGGAATATCTACTGCATTTTGCTGTAGGAGAGCCCATGAAGCTTCACTTTTGCCCATCACATCAGATATCTTTAACACAGTTTTGTGGGTTTTTTTGTTGGTTTGTTTCTGTTTTTTAAAAGTAGTAATATGCTATAATTTGAATTCTTAAAAGGGCTGAAATTCAAACAAAACCTTTTCAAGAAGCTCCTTAGCTGCAGACATTTCAGGAGCTCTTTAAGCATTGCCATCTTCTCACAGCTTTAAAGTTGACATGAGAAGAGGCAGATTCCTGATAAGATTTATAATTTATATCTGGATTCCACACTGTTTGAAATTACAGAGAACTCCAGCAGCTTAGCATTGGTAATGTCAGCAGCCAGGTGTCTGAAATATGAGACCCCTGGTGTTAAAAGAAGAGAAATGCTTGATATCACTATAAAAAGGAAGACAAAAGGCTTTGCTATCAACATAATCTATTACATTATGTTAGAAGTTTTTAAATAACTAATCAAAGGATCTTTCTTAGACACACGTTTTGGAACTTACTTCTATTTGTTCACCCTGCCCATCAGGTTCATCTGTATCAAGGGCAGATAGCTCCAACTCGATGTCTCGATCTGGCTTTGTATCAGCACAGTCTTCACTATAATCAGTCTGAAAGAATGAAATACTTTCTGTAAAAATCACGTTGGCTTTCCACCTGCTTCCCACAACAGTCACGTATTGAAATGAAAATTGAAGGTGGGTTTCTAGGACACAACATCTGTGTGACACAAAGAGTTAAATGATAAAAAAAAAAAAAAAACAAATTGAACTTCAGGCAGACAAAAGAGAATACACAGCAAAATCTATTAGCAAAGTATTGAAAGAAAATAAATACCAGAATGGAAATTTCTGTAGAGCTCATTAAGATTTAGATTTCTAATGTGTACAAGTAGAGCAAAGAGTAAAGTTCACACTAAAACGGATGGTCACATTTCCACTTCTTTATGCCTGGAGTAGCAGAACAGCCAGTCCAACTACTTGGTTTACAGAAATAACCGGGTGAAAAAACAACAGCAACTTAACTTGCACCAAATGCTTTACAAGTATTTTGGAATATCAGAATTAAAAATGTGTCTGTGTGCATGTAAGCCTCAAAGATTTGTTTCATCCCAATCACCCCTTGCTTTACCTCACCATTCCTCAAATCAATTTCCTTGCTTAAAAGATTTAAGGTAAGTCGACTGCCTTCATCTAGAGAATTCCACTTCTGTTGCATGGCTAGTGCATTTGCCTCTCTCTGAAGTAACAATGAGTTACTTTTGGCCTATGGAAAAAAACAAACAAACATACCAATTACCTATAGCTGCACTTAAACCAGGTTCTGGCAAACAGCAATAGAAATCAGGTCACAAAAAGAACAGCTCCCTCTTCAGACATATAACTGTGCATTCTTTTAATGTCCAATATCTGTCCTGTCCTGCATTTGCAGACATTTATCAAGCCCACTACTTCCTACCAAAACCACCCTTACTGATGTCAGTGAATCATAAAAAGTGTTCCAGTACCAATGTCTAGGTATCTCAGTGATCGTTTTACTAATATTACCACTTTCTGCAGATTATACCAAGAAAACTAATTTAATGTTATTTATTTAAGTATGTGGTTTATCTGATCTTACCTGCTGTAATTCAATACTTAATAGATCTCCAGTGCTGGAATGCTTTCTGTGACCAGACAAATCTGTAACTATGAATCTGTCCCTTTGAGAGAAAAGAAGTAAAAATCAGGAATTGAAAACGAATACTCTAAATCAAAGGAACTAAAAGGACTGTTGGCCTATCATTATTAGCTTTTTGTACCAACTAGGCGACGAAGGTAACAAGCTCTTCAAGGCAGAGGAGCACAGGGGGGACATATTAAAAGTGTCCCAGGCAATATGTGAAGCAAACATCCTTGTTTTAAATGTAGATGAAGAAGAAGAAAACCTGAGAAACTACTCAAGATCACAGGTTTGGGTGAGACAGCGCCCAACTCCCACACATTTTAAGATAGGTTTTCCAAAACTTCATAGTGGACAGAAAATCTGTTATTTTAAAATTAAAGTCTATTAGGAGCTTTTTGTTTGTTTAACTATATTCAGGATTTTGAACATTAGCAAGCTACAGAAAACATATAAAGAAAGTCCATACCGTTCTGCATAACGTGCTGATGAAGCTGAATCTGAGCCATAAGAACTCCATCTTGAGTCAACAGCATTGACATAAGGAACATAATCTGCAACCATTTAAAATACAATTCATTACCTTCTCCATTCTTAAGAAATAGGGTGTACAAGCATTTATAGTTCTTCGCATTTCCATTGCTGCATTAAGCATAAACTGGATGAAATGCTCATGATATACGCTATACTGTCAGCATGTAGCCTGTACTTGTACCTGATACACTGATGGGCTTAGTTGCACTTCCTTGGGAAGCAGTGGCCTGAATTGGATCTGTTGTGTGATAACCCGTGCGGGATGACCTGGAGATTGCACCCCACTTGGAAATGATCGGTCCATCACTAAATGGGATTATAGGATCTTCTTCCTTTGCCCTTCTCTGAGTTTCAAATAAATGCATTCTCCTTTTAACATCCCCGCTGTCCAAATCCTACATATTTAGGAAAGAGAAAGAGATAAATGGACTTGTTTCAGGTCATTCGAATGACTCAGTATACCAATGACTTTCTGATTATTGTTGCTGAATGCTGAAAATCTGTTCAACTAGAGACAAGATGGGCCACTACTATTTAACTATTGCCCTTTAACGCTATTGTCAGCATTTGAAGAAATAATTTTGCTCCTCCAATCTAGTACCTCCAGGCAAAAAAGTGCTCCAGGATGCTTCAAGTCCTTCAGTACTATCTAATTTATCTGAAGATAGTATAGATAGTATAGATATCCTATATCTGAAGAAGGCTTGAGAAGTGATGAGATTTGGTTACACCTGTTTCAAAGAACGTGAAGGCAACCTGCCACACTACATAGCAGAAAATCTCTAAAATCATGGGCTCTTACCCCTCCAAAGGCAAACTGTGCGCCATGATTCATATCACATACCTTTTGTTTCTCTAAGTATTTTTTTTTCCTCCTCATGGAAATCAAATGATTATTTTATCAAGCTATATTTTTCCCCTCCATAACTGAACTGTTTATTAGAATGCGATGAGAATGTGTCTTTCAATGAAATAAGAGGCATAGTCTAGGAAAATACCTCTGATACTTGGAATATGAAGCAGCCAACAGTAAACCCATGCTAATTACCCACAGTATTTCAGCTTTCTTCATGTCATTCCTGAAAAGTGTACACTGCTCTTAGGATAAACTTTAAAAGATTCACTGCAACAATAGCACAGTAAGTCTAGAGTCCTGAAAAGGCCAGTAATTATTCATATAGCATGGATAATTCCACTCGAACCAAATAAGAAATGTCTTTCAGCAATGGAAACACCTGCTCTGAAGTGGTCACAATGACAGCATCAACTGGTCAGTCCTGTCAGTGCAATGTATTCTAAGACCAATCTTTTAGATCCTTCAGAAATTGTAAATACACATATACACAAAAATGTGTATTTATGATGTGTGAAGAGAGACGGGATTGAGAAGTCAAAAATGCTTTTATCCCATCAGTCCAACAGTTACAAAGCACACTTACAAATTAATGAGTCTTATCAATTTACAAACCATCTACTCTAAACATTCTGACTACTAGTTTGATTTACAGACACGTGTTATTAAAACGGTCATTTCAGATGTCTGACAATTTTATTCCTTGCATTACATCCTGTCACAGATGTAAACAGAGTTTACAATAACTAGAGGGAGATATGCTAAATGATTTCATATGGGCTGGGCTACTTTTGAGCTAACGTATTAAAAATACTACCTATCAATTAAAAAAAGCTTGTTTAATCAAACAGAAGATACTTCAGCATGTAAATATCATTACATTAACGAGGTAACGTGCAGAAAACCCCTACCATTAACACGGCATTTGAATTGGCAATCACATCCTTGGGCTCTGAGTCGATAGCATTTATGCAAGAACCAATAGTGCCACAAGACCACGGTGAATAGTGAGAGAGATGGTCTTCCTCAAATTTAGTTCCACTCAAATCACTGACACTCTCAGAGAACTACAGAGAAGGGAACAAATAGATAGTAAATAATATAAAAGGGGAATTCAGTCTTAAAATAAGAAAAAAACATTTACTGCTATTTAATCAAAACATCTCAAAGTGAATCAAGGAACTAACACCAATGTTCAAGACTTGACTTGGGGGAACCATAAACCAATTCACAAACAGATTTTAAACTAGTAGTACAGCTGACACATGTCAAGGCTTTCCCAGTACAAGTAACTGTTTGACTTGTCAAGATAAAAGGCTGAAATCAGCGTTGCTGTATTAGTGGCAGGTTTCTTCATGCAACTACCTGCAGTAATTTAATTCTGAGGTAATAATGCATTTTCATTTAAGTCAGAAGCCAGTGACAGAAGAATGACACATCTGATATACCCTGAATGCGCTCACTTCGGGTTTACATACCTTGCAAGACCTATTTCAAATGAAATTGTCAATCTACAAAGAGTGTTTAGTACAGTAGTTCTCAAAGAATTTCTTGGATGCCTTTAACTAATGTACAAAAATACACACTGCATCACTATTGCTTTGTTTCTTTTTCCTCTTCAAAGCAAACAGTTTCTATCTATTTCCATTATTGTTTATAGAATTGTTCTACCAACGTATTTTGCCATTTCTAAGGAGGTGTATATTCTCCAGGATAAGGTTGATTTAGTGCAATGATGCTAACTGGAACATAAAAGAAATGGTCCATCTTGGTGGAAAAGAACTGTCATTCCCTATTTTGCCCAGAAGCAACCAAACAAGAAACCACAAAACAATCTAGGAGGTTCACAAATAAAGTTCAATAGAGTTATGCTTCCTCTAGTGAGAGTAAACTAAAACACTTCCTTACTTTAAGTTTTTTCAGAAATCATGTGTTCAGAAACCATGTCTAACTATGAGTGCATTCTTACTTAGATACTACTCTCTTCTTACTAGAAGACTAAAATCATTTTTTGAGCAACAGATGGCAGATGGAAAATCTACACCAGAAATATTAAATAGGAAGGGAAAATAAAGTTCCTTGGCTTCCCACCTCTGTGTTGAAATCTACACTGAAGAGAGGAGAAGGTGGTGTTGGAGATGGCGTTGCCATAGGAAGGGCTGACGATACAAGAGGAGTTTTCTGTGTGTGATATTGTGCCCACTGTTCTGGCTTCCGTCGTAATTGTTCATCATACCCAGTCTTCAAGTGACCACAAGGCTCCTAGCAATAACAAATACAGGACAGTTTACTCTATCATGCTCTCACCAGAAGGTGAATACTTGCAGGGGGCACACTTGGAAAACATGCTCCCTTGGGTCTGTAGCCTTCCATTGGTATCATTAGAAGAATCTCGCAAGGATTTGGAAGACAACTTGTTCATGTACAGTAACTCAAGTCTTAAATATCTTCATTCAAACACGTGCAGGAAATCAAGAGGCAGAAGGGTTCTGGCCTTAATCCAAACAACAGTAATCAACGTTACAAGCCCATTTTATTCAATTAAAAAAAAAAAACAGCTTGATCTGGGACATATTTCTTGACCACTGTAAAGCCAACAAAACAGAAGAGGTCAATACTAACTATCATCTTTTCATTAACAACTTCCAGGATTAAGCCTTAATCCCTCCTCCCTGTCTGGCTTTCACTTACCCTTGGTAAAGGCACAGTCCTCTGTTCATTTGGAGGTTGGCAAGCCACGGAGTAATAGCCATCCAAAGAGTTGTATCTCTCACGTAATGATGTCTGATAGACAGATGAGTGCATCACATCCATGGGAGGTAAAGAATTGCTCCTAATAATATCATCCCGTGGGTACATCTGTGGGCGCCAGATGCGCCTGCTGTCATAGACTGGAGCATACATTCCAGAAGGGACGGGAGGAACTGGTCCATACGGCTGCGGAGGAGGAGGTTGGTAAGGAGAATTCAGTCGATCTCGAGGTGGAAACGTACTGTAATGGTCGGCATATGGCACAGAAGCAGGTGGGAGGGTGGATTCTGGAACATTATTGGACCTCACAAATCGAGGAACACAGGGAGCCACGCCAGCTGGTACTGTTGGAGGTGGTGGATAGTACCCTTGAAAATTGGAAAAAGGTATATTTTATGTGATCATAAATAACCCAGAAATTTACACCTTCTATAACTGTAACTAGTGTGGTTAAGTATCTTTAGAGAACGAAGTGCAGCACAGTTCTAAAATCTCACTATCAACCCTATAATCTCTCGGGAATTAAATTTATATCTGTCAACCATATTTGCAGATATAACGACGACCCTTTTATCAGCTTGACCCAATTTGGAGAACAGAGCTTCTCTGCCACTGCTCCCATATAGTATGACTTAACTATGTATGCAACTGAAAAGTCAAACACTTCTTTATACATGAAGGTAAAATAACACCTCTAAAGTAGAAAACTATAGTGCTAAAAAATAAAGATAAGTAATTTCAAAGGTTCCTAAATGACAGTTTCACTTCGTTCACTTCTCATTGGAAAGAGCAGTCTGAACACCTTTATCATTTCTTCTGATAACAATAATCACCAGTAATGGGAGCTGACTATGAGTGCCTGCCATCAGCAATGGAAGACAGTATTCTATTGAGTGAAGGTTCAGCTGGTCTTACAAAAATCCATAAGACTGAAATATAAGTTATTTCTGACTACATAACATGCAGGCATATCTAGATGAAAACTGAAACCTACTCTTGGCTCAGTGTCTCGTACTCACCTGCCTGTGGGTACTGTGGAACTTCATACGACAGCTGAGTTCTGGGATCTTGGAAATACTGAACGTTATCAGAATGTGGAGGGTAAACAGGTACTCTGGGAACAAACTGGCTGGATTTTGGAGGCACAGAATTCACTTCTGTTCCAATATTAGGAGGACCAGCTGAGGTAGCTGCTGCCTGGCTTACAGGAGTCTTGGGTGGAGAACCAATTTTACTGAAAAGGATTACCAAGAAATTATTAAGCAGATCTTTATGTATTTTGCTTAATCATCTCTCCACGTACACACTCATATGCAATGTGAAAATTTGGGTGAAGTTATTTCCTCTAGAATTTTAACACCCCAAATTATCGTAACTCAAAAGCATATATAAACATTTTGTGATGTACTCATAACCTTACACAACACTTGCAAATATACTTGAGCAGAGACAAAGGGTTTGAAAAATTTAAAGAATCAGTACTTCATGGAGAAGTACCAAAACAATTTTAAGGGAAAAATCTCAAAAGTGGAAAGTTTCCAGGATTAAAGGGATTTTTCTTGTTCAAAAAAATAAGAGAACCAAAACCACCACATTTTGAATGCAAGTTCTTTGTTCTATGCAATAACTAAGTTAGGCATCAGTAAAACAGAAGAAACAGGGAGAAAGTTTTGTATCACATGGAACTATTTAACAACTAACATAACTTATGCTGGCTCTGACAACTTGAATCTAAACTTTGTATAATGACAGTTCTCGCTTAGCCAGTAAGCAATAGCAACAATTGCCCAGCCGAACCAGAATTCAACATCTATTATTTGTGATTCACAAGCTTGTTTGCCTTTACAATTCAAGAGCAAAATGCTGTGCTTGCTATTTTTATGAAAAAATGTTACCTACTTCTCAGGTAGTGATTCTGTAGGGGATCCAGAAACATTCTGGCCATTGGCTCCACTCTTCCCTGCCTTCTTTGTGTTCTCCAAAGCTCTTAAGGAGGTGTCTGCACAGCGAGGAATCAATTGGGGAACACCACTTTCTAGATTAGCTATTCCATTAGTACTTGGCACCATCTTTCCTGTTGCTTCAGGGCTTCCTATGACAGAAATTACGCTTCCTGTAGTGGTTGAGACGGTGCTATTAACGCCAACTTTATTTAGAAGGGGGAATGTTCTCACTGTTGCACTGATTTTTTTGTTCCTCAAGCGATATCTACAAACAAACATGTAAACACAAGAGACAGATGATTTAAGAAGTGCTTATTGTGCAGTTTAATGTATTTGTAAAACTAGTAAGAGATTAAGAGGAACATGATGGCCAAGAATTCCAGGACTTCACACTGCTATCCATTTTCAACAGTTTAGCCTAACTTAAGTAGAACATCAGCATCCTCTATGTGACCAAAGATGATCTCCTAGTGAAACATCTGCTTGTGCAGTCCTTTGGAAAGGGAACACAGTGAAAACAGATTTAAGAGTGCATATGTTACGTATTACCTAAATAACTCAGTTTATTCCTTAGTCAATTAAAATATAATCAACATTTTCTCTCCTCTGAGTGGTATATTCAATCTATATTCAATCCTTAACAGACACTGACCCTAGAATCAGTTTCAGAAAGGAAAACTTCACTTCATGCAGGTAAAATAAAAAACAGAACTGGAATTAGTCGATAGATGTTTCTTTACTGTACCTTCAACTTCATGTTAGAGCTGTAATTTCAAGCGATTAACGAATCCTTCGGAATGAATAAATACACCTTAGAAACCATTTTCAAAGTTCTAGGGTAACTGCTTGGAATTAAACTAAAAATCTTTAAAAGAGCTTGAAACTCACTTTTCAAGCTCTTCCTGAGAATGAGCAAATGTACAGTTGGTTCCTCTTGGACATCCCCCTTGTTGTCGAAGGTCTCGGCACATACTTGTTTTGTATTTGCTATTTGGTTGTGGCTTAAAAAACACAAATAAAAGATATTCCACTTACAAACAAACACAAAAATAGGCATAAAATATGCACACACATTCAAGACATTTTTTAACTGCCTTTTATCAGAAAACTAAGAAATTACTTATGGGTGAGCTAGGCACTATGCTTTTGTATGGATCTCAATGTATTAAGCTTTGCTGTATTCCATATTCGGAAATGTTTTCAAAACTAGAATGCAGCAGATAACAGTGTTATGGATTATTCCACAGAAATGGCTATAAATATTTCAATGTAACTGTAATTCTTACAAAGAGTTGCACATTGCATTAAGTGTACATCAAGACATATCACGCAATGATGAAATATAGTAACCTGTGGAGTTTCATGGCCTTTTCTGCTGTAATTCTGAATGAAATCCACCAGCCCGTGTACCACCGTCTTCACAGCCACCATTGCATTTTCCAGCTGCTCCCATGTTGGAGATGCTGCATCTAAAATTATTAAAAGCAGGTTTGTCATTGTCAGTGATTTCCAAGGAATCCTAAATAAGAGAACTTTTTCCAAAACATCGAGGACTAGGGTACAGCTCAGAGAATCCTGAAGATTTTATGATAGCACTACAGTAATTGGAATTTTGAAATCAGTAACAGAAATTATCCTCTTACATAATTCACTTCGCTTTGATATTAATGATGTGAAGAAATTAAAAAAAAATAAAACAAAACAACAACTTTGCTTGCTTACCTGGATTTGGGTCTATGTTTGCCAGGAGCTCTAAATGAGGTCTCAGCCTGTTTAAGTTTGCAGGATCACCTGTGCGCTGCAAGACGATCGTCAACTCTTGCACGCTCTTTGCAAAAGACTCTGGAGATTGGAGCTGAAAGTAAAGTGAGTGTTAGCATGTTTCATCCTATAAATGTGAAGTGTCAATTTTAAGACTTCCATTCAGTTGGCTCCTAAATGCAATGTATAGTGTCTTCAGATGGCATACAGCAAGTATCAGTGGAGAGAAATTTAATTTCTCAGCTCAGAATCTGCCCTATGAAGCTTCATCATAAGACACAAGTGACAAACTACTGAAAAACAAAATGTCCTCATATGAAGAATATACTACAGCAGGGAAAAGCTTTCATTCTGGTTTTACTTAATATTTGATACAACTAAAGACAAAAAGATAACTTAAGTAATTCTAGGATTTTTATTATAACATTAAAGAGTCAAATACCAAGAGGTACTAAAGCCAGCCCCATGACGAACCTTGTCGATAATGGATTGCATGTGAGATTTATGTGCCAAGTCGCCATAAAGAAGGGAAGACCACTGTTCTGGTGATATTCGAAGTCCTGCTTCCATGGCAATGTGAACAATTTGGGCATCATGTTCTCTCCGCAAAGCCTCATAACTCCGAAACTCTTCTTTAAGTTGCATCAGAGAAGAATCTTCATCCCTTTTAGTGACCTAATGAACAATGATGCATAAACAGTCCTTTAGCTAGAAACCTCCAATCCGTTAGGAAAAAAATGCCACATAGAAGAAAATGCAAAAGCATATTTCTTCTTGATACTTAGCAGATACTTTATTTTCTTTGTTGTTTTTTTTCTTCCCCATTTACTCATCCACTTTAGCCAGCAGCACGCAGGCAGAACAGCCAGCTCTCTGAGTTTTAACAGGATCACTAGTGCTAAACTGTAACATCAACACCACCACTTTCAACTAAGCAATCCATCAGAGTTGCTTGTCACAAAGTATACAAAGCAGTAATCTGATACAGTTAGATATTCAGCTGTTCTAACAATAGCTTTTGCTGTCCAACTCTAGAAGATTACTTCAAAGAGAAAGTCTCTCAAATTGACTTAAGTGACACAAAGGAAGAAAACTTGGCCTCTCTGGTAAATATTCTCCACTATAAATGTTAAGCAAACTCTTATTTAAGACATTTGCCATAAAAGAGTGCAAGAGATCCCATAATTTATTTTCATTTTTTTTGTAACATGATATATTAGATGTTATGGTAACTATGTAAGCACCCAGGATTACACTATTACAGAAGCTTTCTTCAGAATTGGACTTCAAGCTTTGAGAGCATCCAGGCCAGTCTCACACATCTGGCCAGGCCTACTCTTATGAATCCACATAAAATCAAATATGATGATGATAAACCATTTTATTTCTTCCTGAAGCAGGCAAGGAGTGCCTACAAGTTACATTTCATGCTTCTCTCAAGAGAATTTCCAGCCGATGGACAACAATTAGTAATGAGAGGTAATTACAGAGTTGACTCCAGTCAAATCAATATGTGACCATTTGTTCCTTTTGCATGGATCTTTAAATATTAGATAAATTCCCATCAGTTGTACGCTGTATAGTTTACACCATTTCAATGTACTGAAACAGAATTTATGTAACATTTTACAGGTGAAAGATCAATCCTAAGTAAGGTTCCTTGGAATTGCACTTGTTCAGTAACTAACTTCAAATTCTGGTATTTTACCTTAAAGCATGATGCTCTATACAGTAGCTGCACAACATGACCAATGCTTGTTTTAGAGGCCTGAGGAAATCTTGGTTCTAGCCTTTGCACCACAAAAAGTACCAGAACTTTTCTCGAGAGTGCAGAGCCATCTTCCAGTGCCAGTAATACAAGTTTCAGTGCCTCCTCTTGCATAGCTTTATCACACAAAAATAAGAAAAGAATAGAAACATGTTGCCAGAAAACAGCATGGCTATCGTGTATTAACACCATATGCAGAAATGGATGAATCATCCTGAATACAATTCCTTGTTTTTACTTCGCTAATAAAAAAACTCTGTGAACAAATTTTAAGAAATTTGCTAGTTCAGAAGGAGTATCTAAAATTAGCTGTTTGTATTTACAGCTAAAGTATAAAGCAGAGAAATTTGCACATTAGCATCAAAATCTGATCAGAGGCAGCAGTACAACCAGCTTGTGTTACAGTTACGCTGTGTAACAGGCTGTGAAGAAAGCTGACTTATTCACATTTCTTCACCAGCAGTTTTGAATCAATTCCTCATAATTTCAATGAACAGCCAATAAAGCCAAAACAAAACACAACAAACCCCAACCTTTTAAGAAAGCAGATTTTACTACCCTGTAGTCTTCTTTCCCTTCCCTCTTTCTCATATAAAGTTGAAAAATGGAAGTCACGGTACCTTCATTTGCACAGAAAAAGCTTCCAAGATTTTTTTGTGTGTTAAGAAAAGGTATGTGTATATTTATACGTTACAGATTCTGCAGGTACCTTACCTGGCCCTAGAAACTGACATCCTCGTGCCCTGACAGCAGCCCAAAGATTGGCAGAAAGCTGCTGAGGATTTTGGTGCTGCAAGATCAATTCTGTCACGGTTCTCTCGCCCAGCGATCGAGCTGCTCTCATAGCCCTAACTCGACCCTCTTCCTCTACCAGCTGACAGTTCACCAGTGTCACAAGCTTCCTTTGCATTGGACGGCTCAGTGCACTCTGATTCAAGCTAGCAACACCTTCAAAGAAAGAGAGAAAAGAAAACTACTGCTTTTAATTGGACAAATTAATCTAGGTAGAACAAACAAAAATGTATAATAGTATGTCTCTAGGACTTGAATTCTAATCACAGGTATCATCATTTCTCTTGGGCAATTCCAGGTAACTCATTAGCAAGAAAAATTTTAATGAGAGTCTTAAATTGACGTCAAACTCATCCTCTGAGGAAAGTTCAGCTTTAGAAAGAAGTGGAAGCACTATTAAATATTAAAAAAGTATTTGTAAACTTGAGATCAAGAATCAATTGTCAGAAGCGTGAATAAAACATGGTAGAAAATTTTGTTATAAAAACAAGAGAATTATGCCACTGATGTCTAAAATCAGTGCTTAAAACCACAGGGCTGTTAAAAGCACGCCAAAACTGCTGCACCAAAACCCCACTGTTCAGTGGAGACTTACCTTTTCCTCCACTTAATGGCTTTAAGTAGAGTGCCAAATCCTCAACACATTTCTTTGCTACTTCATAATGTTTGTTCTCTCCTACATTACTCAACTTTACTGTCTGATGATCAGGTACCTAAAAAACGTAAAGAGAATGTGAAAAAGAATTGGACGTACCCATCTGACAAGCCTATGATGGTACCAACATCACTACCATAGTTACATAACACTGCAGATGTACAATGCTTCTGAGGGAAGAGAAAGACAGAACCCATCTAAGTTGTGTGGAAGGTAATAAGGAGTAACAGAACGGACTGAAGACAAGTATCACAAATGAAAGATTATTTTTGTTAGTACTCAACACATTAAGAACAAAGCAGGATTAAAAAAAAAAAAAAAGCAATAACCAAGACTTGATGGAAAACGTAGTGAAAAGACACCTGAAGAACACAAGATTTGTGAGGATGATAAGTGTACAAAACCAGCATGATTTACTACAGAGAAACAAGGGAAGTTGTCTTACAACTGGCAAGAACATAAGATGAAAAAGTCATAAACAAAGTTAAATAATTCAAGCATAAAGGCATATAGGCATACAAATAGCTTTGAAGTCTTCAAAGAGAAGAACTATCAAACTTAACTTGGTGCAAGAACTCAAAGTGGAGTAACAAGGTCAGACTATGAAAATAGAAGGAACATAGTCACAATAGAGTCAATTGTTTGAAAGACACTGCTAGAAGTTCAGAGCCCAGGAAAATGAATGTTGTTAGATCAAGGCAGTGACACAAGAAAAAAAAAAGATGAATTTGAGAAAAAAAACACAAACAGATCGTATTATTATCAACAGCTTCAGCTAAGCATGCAAAAAAACATTAAAAAGAAAAGTAAATGCATCACCATTACATCACCCAGATGTTATAGACAGTATTATGAAAAAGAATGTGAATCAGCATAAGGTGAACAGACTTATTTAGTCTCCATAAAGTGCAGTACTGATTATATAATCACTGTTTTGCCACTGCTATGAGACAGAACAAGGAACATTCCTGGCCTGATTAGCCAGCGTCTGAAAATGCAACTGAAAAGCTATCATACATATTTTTAAAAAAACTAGACATATTTCCATAACTTGGTTAAACAGCTAGCTACTCTGAACATGTGACATGCAGAAGTGAGATTCCTTGCAAGGAAGTGTACAATACAAAGTGTACAATAAACGAGCGCAATCTGCAGGACTGCTTTTCCAGTGACTACTGTCACAGGCAATTGTCTCATTTCTAATAAGTGTTTTTCTCCAGTCCCATGTCAGAGTCTTTTCACACCAGAATTCACTTACAACTTGGAAGTATCTTCATTTTTTCAAGAAGTAGATGGATCTGAAAATGATGTGGCTCCTTTTATAGCATACACTGATTTTAAAAGGCTACAAAGATAAACCCTTGCCATTTCTTGGACCAAATGGGGGAAAAACATGAGCACAAGTATTGTGACTGGCATGTAAATGTTAATAACATGAGATGGCAAAACAAAGAGCAGTTTAAATCATACCTGGGCTCCAACTAACTGGAGGAGTGCAAAGTTTACAGGAAGCACATCGATGTCTGTGTTGATGGCAGTCTGGTCGAAAGGACATGCCTTGCGATGAAGCTTGTTCAGGCAGGTCTTACAGACAGTGTGAGAGCAACCTAAGCTGATGGGTTTGTGCACATTCTCATCAAATTCGTTGTAGCAGATTGGGCAGGACAGAAATTCTGTCCACTGAGCTGCCTGCACAGGCATTGTGGAAGCTGGACAGTTGCTTAGCAGGCTAGAAGACCATTATTTCACTGTACTACGTTTTGGCAGCTGTAAGTGAATAACAGATTATTTAAAACATGCTTTCTGGTAGTCTAGAATGAGTCTGAATTAAAAAAATACCATTTCAGTGTTTTATAGACTAACATGGAATTCTAACATCAAAGTACTCAAAATACAACTTCTTGATAGTTTAATAATTGTACAGAAAGGCTCATGAACTGAATTACTGTAGGCTACAGTAGGTTGAATTTGAACATATTCACAATAAATGGCATTAAAGTTCTTCTCACAGGATTAAATACAACTTCAGTTAGGAAAAGGAAGACATTTATTGGCACGGAAAGACCATAAGCATCCAATCTCACCTTAACTCAACCTTTCACAGCTCTAAGAGAACTCTCTGGTTACAGAATGGGCCTGGGAAGGGTGTGGGGAAGGCACAAAATGTTACCTAGGTTCACTTCATTTGAAGTGAAGTACAGCAATGCTTTCCTTCTGAAGTTTTCATTCAGGTTTCATCGGATACCAAACCATTTTCTATTGAGAATCACAAAAAGATACTAATAACAAGAGATAAGTACTATTTTAAGGACACAGCATAGCAGGCATGGTGGTGCTGCAGCTGGACTACACAACCTTATTGGTCTTTTCCAACCTTAATAATTCTATGACTCTCTTATGCCACCTCCCTCTCCCTCCCCCATCAGAGCACTCGAGATCGTTCTGCCTCGTTTTGCTTTTTACACCTCTACCAGACACAACAACACAACCCCACTTCAGCAAACTTGCAGGAAAACATCTGATATACAGAAAATCCTGGCATTCTGGACAGCACTTAAGGATAAAGCAAGCAATAACTTCAGTTGGTTTGTTATTAAGGGTTTTCTCTTGAAAATTCGCTGTTCAGAGGTATCATGCATGTCCTTTACATCTGCCTATTCAAAAAAACCAACTGTTCTAAAATATGTCGCATTTTACATAACTTAAGTCCTATGAAAAAGACAACATGCCTGGGAAGTTCACTGAAACCATTTACATTAAAACTTGGGTGGAAGACTCATATCCACATTCACCTGTGAGCAGAACAGCCCCACCCTGCACTGCAATGTGCAGCAATGTTGACTTTCTATGCAACCTGCAGACCTGTTAGTTCACTTCAAGGCTCTGAACAAGCCTATCCTAGCAGCTTATTAGAATGCAAATATTTAGATATTTAAATGACACATTTCAATACATATATTTTTTTTCATGGAAAAAAGGTAATTGTTTTAAGAAAGCTGTGCTCTCTCTCCTGGATTTGAATTCAGTAACGCTTCACTGTGAGTCCACTGTTGGCTGTGCTAACATGTAATTAATGCTAAAGTATTGGACCACTGAAATAATTACATCACACATCGAGTCTATCTGGTGCTCCAGTATTACACATTAGTTGTAGCCATCTGTTTAGAAATTCTATTTAACACGATGACCGTTCAGTGCCCCTTAAGTAACAGGACATTTGTACAACACGTGCCTACCTCAGCGCGCTTTTTGGTATTATGCAGAAATCCCACCCCCAGTAAAGCAAATTCACAGTGAACATAAAACAAAACAAACTGGAAGTTGAACCTGTCCCTTAAGAACAAAGCTGCTGAGGCAGTGCTTCTAACACTGGCCAAAATATTCACATGTACTGGACAACAGATTTTCATCCAGCTCGTCTGAAAGCACAGTCAAAGCTCTCGCAGGGGTGAAAAAAGGTGCTCCTCTTTAACCTGCTATTGCTACACTTATCTTTTAACCACTGAAACCCCAAAGCAAAACAAGTAACTGCAAAAACAAATGAGCCAATGCACCTAAAAAGACATTTCATTCCTCTATAAAGGATCCCAGCACGTTCTTCAGCTCACTTGCTTCAACAACAAGTGCTGGGCAGAACTGCGGCATAAAGCCTTGCAGGAAATACCTGCATTCCTGGAACACCGAGGTGCTGCCACCACCACTATGCTGCTCCAAGGCCTTACACTTCTCTTTGCACAGCCCGGACTGTTCAAGGAAGCGCTGCCATGGTGACACACAAGGGGAGAGGTGCAAAGGAAGGCTGCTGCACGCACAGCCTGCTGCTACTGTGCTGCTGGTCACTGGCAGCCTCCGAGCAAACCACTCATTAAGTAGCTGAAGTGCAAGAACTCCAACTCAGTACCCACATTCAGTCTCCACAGATACTACAGACATGTGCAACTAACACCACCTCTCTACAGGCTTCTAAAATAGTTGTTTCCCTGACCAGCACGGAAAGAAAGCAAAACAGATTCTTGAAGAGTGCACCCCTGATTTGTACAGATCTCTGCGTATTGTTCCATCAGAAATGGCAGACTCTTCTCAGCATGTGCTGACTTCCAGATTTCTTGTCAGGAAAAAGACTAATGAAATGGGCACACAGTTGAGGAAAGCTGTCAGCTCAAAGCTTCGGGCAGCCACAGCAAGAGGAAGCCACCACAGCTGCTACCTGTCACTGCCCCACCTGAAGGCTGTGCCTTCAGAAGGTGCCAAACCTCCTCCCCATCACGCTGACTCCTACAGAAGGCATAAGCCAAATGTGTAACACATTCTTGTTCCTTGTCAGAACCAATGGATTTCAGGGACTCCTGAAGAACAAATTGCTCCAGTGCTCTGAACTGAACAAAGGAAGAAAACAAAATAAAACAAGAAGCCACTGGGGTTTTGGTTTTAAACAGAAAATATGCTCAGTGTAATTATCCTTTGTCTACCTGATCTGTCTGTTAAATATGCCACCTCTACACATGATACCAAGCTTCTTTTCCTTGCCAAAGCACAAGCATCCCACATAGAGGAACAGGTCAAACATACAAGAGTTTGGTGAGACACAGCAAATTTTATACGCACACATATATATGTAACTATGTTTACTATTTACTACGTTGTAGGAATGACATGTATTACTATTAAAAGCAACATTTCAGATGACAAATAAAAAACACCCGCCTAGCTTCAAAGTTACATAATATATCAGAGTTGAGTCATTTTGTTTGTAATACAGTAACATTTTTCCATTGCAGAAATGGTTGCACTGGAGTTTAGTAACAATGATAGCCGCTGACTTTCCTGTGATTATTTTAGACCAGGGTATTTGATGGAACTGATGGCAGTGACAGGAAGGCGGGTGTGAAGCCCCAGAACCTTCATTGATCAGCTGTACCACTTCCAGATAGAAGCTGTAAGATCTGGATGTTCTTATTTTACATTAACTTTTAGCTACCCAATCCCACGACACAGTGTACAGCTAATCTAAGTGTTACTGTCTTCCTCCCCCATGGGAAGTTTGGGACCTCCAGACCATTTTCTAGATGAGACTGAGATGCTTTTTATCTGAAATACAGACACATTTCATTAACGTCTGTATTTGGAAAAAGGTTCAAATTTGCATGTTAACTTGGCCAGGCTCAGCAGTTACCTGTCTCCTCTGCCTGCCTTCCCAACCTGCCAACCTGAAGGCAGCCAGAACCGAGCTGCAAGGAGAGGCTCTGGAGCACTGCAAAGGATGCTGAGCCCTGCACTGTCTGGAAGAGCTGACTGGAAACACTGCTGACAACGCTTCATTCTCAAATCCATTCATACCCAGAGCTCAGAGGCCTAACAGCAGGAGGAGACATTTACTGCTCCACATCAGTGCAAGAACATGACACAAAAGTAGAGAAAGGGACGCAGTTCAGTTAGTGGCTGGTGTTGGCTTACATCTTACTTCACCAACTAGATTTCTCACCCACACAGAGATACAAACTTAATTCCTTTTTAATACTTCAAGCCCGCATTTCCACCTTCCAAAAAAGCAACCAAATAGGTACAGATGGGGGCAATTTCGATCTCCAGCTGAAGCTGTTCCTCGCACAAAAGCACCAAATAGCTCTCAAAGACGACTTTAGCCTCACCTTCAGCTGTCCAAGTAGATGACTTGGATTTCCCCTCATTTGCAATGATCATTTGTGCAACTCTTTGAGCAAGGGAGAAAAAAGTCAGCACCTCCTCCCCAGCCAGATGCCCCAGTTACCAGGCTGCATGGTGAGAATGTGCCTCATTCTACGATAACTCCGTTTTCTTTGAATAGAAAAAAGTTCAACACGAGGTTGAGAATGTTTCCCATCAGGGCTGCACACCACTGGGCACAGGGCATTATCAAGACATGGGATACGCAAGTACCAGCCCTTGCCAAAGAAAGCAAGGGCTGAGGGCTTGAACTCTGCTCCCCCAGGCAGCTGCCCAGGAAGAGGAGAGCAGCAGCAGGCACAGCTCTGATCAGAAGCAGCAGCCCGGTGTTCCTGCCAGCCTGCTCTGCTCAGGCTCCTCACCAGCTCCCTTGTGAGGCTCACGCAAAGGACAGGCTTGCAAACAGATCTTGTGTGAGAATGAGAAACCGAGCAACTCGATAGGACTCAAAGGCTCCTCTACAGAAGAGATCTTAAAAATAAAAATATGGCAACTTGTTATGTAGAGCTTCCACAAACTGAGGCAGTACAGCCCACTGTGGATTGAATCCACAAACCTTAAAAAAAATAATCAATGTAATGATTAAATTAAAGAGTCCTTGATATTGACACGCTCCTACTGTTGACTGTAGAGATCATGTCTTTTCTGCTTTAAAATCATCTCCATTATAACATGTCATTTATGCAGATTAGCTGTTTGCTTGCTTTGCAGAGGCAACTTTTTCAAGCCCTCCTTCTCAAGTTATGCAGTTCTGAAAGCATCCTGACTGGCTCGTGGCTCACGTCATCAAATTGCAAGTATTAAAGTATTCTCTGCAAAGGCTAGAATCTTTTATTCATTTCTCTTCAGTAGCCATCATTTACAAAACTAGCTTCATTAAAGGCTTAGAAATCATAATAGCTTCGCATCATTCAGCAATGATTACTTGAAATTAAAATAAATCCTCCTTTCAGAGCAGACTTGCTTTTTTCTGCATTCCGTAATATCTGTGACATGCGAATCTGCTTATATCACACATCAAATTCTATATGAAGGAAAGCCTTTAGCGACCACTAGAGATGATATTCCAATCCTTTTTTTTTTATCCACTGAACATTCATGCCTCTGGGAATATCTGCAGCCTACTTAACTCCGGAAAAGTTATCAACAAGAGAAAAACCTCAGGGATGCATTAGAACATAACATCCCACCCAGACTGTGTTTTGCCAAAACACCCATTCGTGCTTCACAGGAGAAGACAGCAATCTTCTTCAGGAATTAAAGCCTTAGATCTCCTCTCCCTCCTCAGACAAACTGCCTGTGAGCAGCAGTACAGCTCACTGACAGAAACCACGGTTCACTGTTCACTCGGTGACGGCCAAAGTTCACTCACTTCAAGGTACAACTCCCCCCCCAAATCAACACCAGGCAGCGTATCCTCAATGTTTAACACTGGCCCTTTCCTCTTTCAGAGCAGCCAGCTCAAATCCTGTTACCAGATTTTTAATGTTCCCTTATACTTATGTAATGCCACTGTGGGGTTTTTGGTGATTTATAGGCGTCAATGAGAAGAGAGTTTGCCCTTGCCACAGACTGATAGGAGCTCAGTATTGACTTTTCAGAACTAACTGAAGGGCAAATAAATGAATTTTTTTTTCTCTACCAAAATCAGTTGTACTTAAAGCTGCCTTAAGAGAAAGGGAACTTCTAAACAGATCCATGTTGACACAATCCAACAAGAGATACGCTGAACTCCTTACTCTTCAGGAATATTTTCAGAGAATTTGGACTCTCATGTGTGTGTGTGGATTAGTTCCCCACATCTTTCAAATCCAAGAGGTGTTTTCATTTTGCAAACACCATCTTCACTGCAATGATTCAACTATGCATACTATAAAGAAGCTCCATATACTAACATTTTCCAAAGAATTTTAAAGAAATACTAATTCCTTTCTGAAACCCCTTGCAAAAAAACAGGCTGCTTCCAAGAGGGACAGAAAGCCTTTCAAAGTTCTTACAGAACAGCTTAACACTCCCACAGATACGGATTTTTCTCCTTTCATTGGGATTGTCCAGCCAGTTCAGAGAGACCACTTTCCATTAAGAAAAGCACAAAAGCTGACCAGAGGAAAGGCAATGCACACCTCACAGCACACACTGCTAACCACTGCCCTCCGGACACCAACCAACACAACCTCAACTAAAAAAGATCAGCATTCAAAATGAAGACCTTGAGATATTTGAAGAACTGAGAGTCAAACTGTTGGAATTTGATGTTTTCCAGAGAAACAACCACGACCTCGAACAAAGCAAAAGGACAAGTCAGGAAGAAATTATCTCTTGAGGAAAGTTTTGCCCATATGCAGAAAGAAGAATTTCATTAAAAAGGCAGTAGTTCTTGGGAAAGCATTCAATTATAAAAATTAAGAATTCAGTGCCAACAGAACAGTATCTCTGTTAATGAAGCAGGCTTCAATTTCTAGAATTCTGAAATGTTTAACACAGACTGAAGGTCAAAAAGAGTATTTGGGTTTAGCAGATGTAAACTGTATGTCCTCACTGGAAATGATAAGTCTTCTTTGCCACTGGTACAAATGTTCATCCTTGTACTCTGAAGGGCTGTTTTTTGTTTTCAACACTGCAGAATAGCTGCAATGGGCACGAGAGAACCTCCACACGAGCAGCTACAGAAACTGCTGGTAGCGCCAACTCCTTCAACAAAAATTCCAAGTTCACATGTAAAGATGGAAGGAAACAGCTCTGTACCTGAGCATCGGGTGTCAGCCTCAGCTAGGGCATTATTTTACCTCCCCACATGTACAGACTGCTCTACTGCACACCCTGCCTGCACAGCGATGCTTACAGCTCCCTGACCACACTCGTGTTCACTATGCTTTCAGCTGACTTCCTCCCTTAACTTAAAGCCCTCGGCACAGCCCAAGCATCAGCAGAACGAAGGCACGCTTTTCCTGCTCGGCTTTTTTCAGCCTCTGGGGCCGTGACGCGCTGGGCGCAGCGCTGGGCCCTGCTTTCCACCATGACTCCTCTCCACCATTACCGCGACGGAAGCGCTGGGAGCGCTCCGCCGTGCCGGAGGCCCCCAGGGAACGGGCAGCAGGCAATACTGACGTGCGACGGAGGAACCGGGACTGCCCCGCCGCGGCCGGGAGATAAATGAGATAAGGGAGACAAGGGAACAGCGCTTGGAGCAGCCGGGGCGGCTCCGTCCCCGCCCCGCCCCGCCCGGCCGCTGACAGCGGGCCCTGCCCCGCCGCGCACCTGCGCCCGGCCCCGGCCGTCATTTCGAAGCCGCCACCAAATGGCTGCCCGGCGGCCTAGCGACGGGGGACGGCCCCCTCCCCGCGGTGCGGCGGCGGGCGGGGCGCCAGGGGCCGCGCTGGGCAGGCCGGGCAGGGCCCCGCTCCCCGTCCGGATTCCGCAGCGCCGGGACCCCGCAGGGCGCCGGGGTGGGGGAGCGGGCGGGCGGGGCCCCGCTGGGTCACCGCGTCCCCTTTGGCGACCGCCCCCGCCCAGCCCCGCTCCTACCTGCGAGGCGCGGGCGGAGGGGCCGGGAGCAGGCGGCGGCCCCGGCCTCTCACACGCCATGGGGCGGGCAGCGCAGCGCGGCCCGGCGGAGGCTGTCGGGGCCTCGGCGGCGCCTCCTCATCGCGCTGACAGCCGGGAGCGTCGCCCCGCCCCCTCTCGCGAGAGCCTCCTGCCGCCGCGCGAGAGCCCAACGGCCGCGCCGCGCCCGCCGGCCACGTGACCGCCGCGGGGAGGGAGGGGGCGCGGGGCATCGTGGGAGTCAGTAGGGCGGTGCTGGGGCGTCCTCGCACCGCCCGGCGAAGGGGCGTCATCGAGACGGCGGCGTAGAGCGGCTCTTGCAAGCCGCTGGCGCCTTCGCGCGGTCTGTCAGCGTGCCCCGCCAGGTATCCGCTGCTGCTGTTAGTTGTGGTTATCTTAAAATTAAATTCATCACTTCCTAATGACTGTCCAGAAAGAGAGGGAGGGGCTAAACTGTCGCGGTTGGAGGTTCCCGGGAGCGGCCGAGGCGCTGAGGAGGGGCGCTGAGGAGACGCGCGGGGCGGGAACACGCGCCAGAGCCGCTCGGAATGGATCGAATGTGATTAGAAGGCGTAAGCGTTCCTGAAACGGTGTGCAGTTCTCTGTCTATGACAAGCGGTTATATGTACGGAGAGGGGACAGGGAGCACCTTCAGGAGAACGTGCTTAGCAACACCCCGAAAATGCTCGACTGCGGCCGCCAAAGGCACCGTGCACAGCTCAGCCTGGCCACACACACAAACGCACACAGAAGCACACACACACACAAACACAAACAAACACATGCACGCACACACACACGCAGGCCCTGGTTCTGTCGCATTTATTGAACTACAGTGGTCTCTTCTCTTTTTTTGTCTTTTCCAAAATGCGAGACTGTTGCACAAGGTGATTGTAGAAGAAGTGATTGTAATTCATACTTTAACCAGCTGCTTACCCTGGGTGTGTCACTTTTGTCACAACTCAGAAAGACACGGATAGGCAGACGTAGTGTGTATGTTCCAATGAATCAATGCAACGGAATCCTTCACAAGTCAACTGATACAAAGTCAAATATTTTAATGAATTTTTGGAGGAATGTGGCTCAGTCAGCTTTAGAAAACACAACTTGTCCCTTTTGACAACATGATTTTTGAGGAAGGCATATGCATACAGCTTAACGTGAAAGGGAACCTGCAAATATCGTCACAATCCAACTAATGCACACTTATGTACTGAATTAAACCAAAAGGAAAACTTTAAAAATACCCAATAAAACAAGTGGAAGATTGCAATATGCAAAGATAGTGCTAAAGCTGGCATAGCTGATCATTTCCATTACAGGTAGTAACAGGAAACTGCACTGCGTGCATTGTACATGCCCAGCCCTTTGTGTAACTGATAAATAAAATCCCAAACAACAACCAGTTACAATCACTGAGAATTAAATTTAATCAAACCTGTTAACTGACATTAAAAGTTGTTGTCTTGTATTTTAAAAACAGCCAGGTTATGGAGCACAAATGTGATACTTCTGGATTCAGCAAGAGTTTCACAACAGCATTTGTCAACCTTGAAGGAAAGTGTATCCACACGTGATACAGACAAGATAAAGAACTCCTTTCTGCTAACTGGAGAGTCTAATGTAAGTACAACTATCTCATAACAACAACTGAATCAATTCTTTATTCATTTCACATTAAGTGCAAGAAACACATACCAGTCAAAGACAAGTACAGGATAAAGATTTTGCGTTACAGGGGTTCACTGCTTGTGATGAAACAGAAGTAACTTTTGATAAAGTACAAACACAGCTATCCAAACACACAGTTACTGTTTTACAGGATCACAGAATTAGAAGATCTCTATGTCTAAGTAGTTTTTTTTGAGATATAATGGATTGCTTTTCAAAATGAACACAGCAAGTGTTATTATATATAATAGCATACAGTTTATGTTTTCACATTAGTATATATATCTAAGATCTGTAAAAAAAACAAAGACAAATCTTACAGCTCAGCAAATGAGCCTAACTTAATCAGAGTAAGTCAAACAGGCACTAAACACTGGTACAACAGAAGAAATGATATGGAGAGAGAAATCTGGAAAAATTCTGATCTGATTCATAAAACTGAATGCAAGTCCTTCTAATGAGACTATCCAGTTAAAAAAAAATGAACTGCAATGCAATACTGTTTTGTTCACTTTTACCAATTCCCTATTTGCAAAAGGCAACTTGAATATGAGCACATGCCTTTCTTCTCTTGAAAGATCCAGCAAAGTTCAGTCAAGGAAGGAGATGACATCACCATAATTCTGCATGAATACAGGGGGGTGACTGACTTGCTGAATATCTATAAACATCTCCTAGCCATTATAGATCAGGAGTCACGGCTCAGGCTTCAGCTTATTGCAATGTCAGTAAAAGTTTAAAAACTGGCAGTGTCTGCCCTTGGAACAAAGGAGTGCAAAGCATCATTAAGAGATAATAATTAGAACATTTCAGGGATGTTACAAGACAGGCATGAAACTGTTCTCTGTGTTTTGCCATTTACTTTCAATTAATAAACTACTAAAAAGTCCTTTTGAGGACTTACAGCACAGCAGCCCTCGCACAGCAGACAAGATAGCTGTTCTCAGGACCTGACTGATCACCAATCTCATATTTTTCCTTTTCTCCATTACGTGGGGATCTGTTGAATGTGCACAATTTCACCAGATAGAAGCTTTTTGTGGAGCCTGGCTCCACACCCACTCACCTATTAATCACAGTCTATTTCAATTTTTGTAATAGTATTCAGGTTTGGTTTTTCACTGCTACTCCTTCCGTGAACGGATGTTAGGTGCTTTTTAAGAGCAGACTTGTGTTTAAAGTCCATGTCACAGCAATGACACTTGTAGGGCCTGTCACCACTGTGTATGTTCAAGTGATCCTGCAGAGTACTTTTGGCAGTGAATGTCTTCAAGCACACCATGCATTGGAACGGGCGGATACCCATATGGCCCCGGATGTGTCTGTTGAGATTCTTTTTTTGTGTAAATGTTTTACCACACTGCAAACACAAGAAAAGCTTGTGCATTTTTAGATGTCTAAGATAGTTCTCCAGATGCAGAAATCCTCTTGGACACTTTGGACATTGATTCCGCCACAAATTATCAGAATCGTCCAGATTTTGAAACCCATTTATCTGAGTCGAAGTCCCCTCTGGATTGTCAGTGACAAAAGCCTGAGCGTTCCTGAGAGTTCCTGACATTTCTGAATTTCTGCTCTCAACTGTAGAATTTATCAAGGAGTGCTGGGTTTCGGGAAAATATAAGTTTGTTTTAGAGGAGGTGCAAGGCTGAGGAAAATGATCGTTTTCCACATTAGGTACATTCATAGGATCCATTCTGAAGATACATATTTCATCATCCTTATATCCTATTTCAACCGTTGATATGTCCGGAGTCCCTGTGTCCTTTCTTTCTGAGCCCAAACTCTGTGCCGCAGGCTGCAAGTCATCCCCCTTCTCCTGTTTAACGGAGAATTCTAAATTAACTGGGCTATCTTCATAAATCTCAATTATTTCACAGTCTTTATCAGAAACGTCGTCCTTGCTCCTCAGTTCAATGTCAGAGGAATGGCACTTCTCTGCAGCCTGGCTGCTATTCTCCATGGAAGCGTCGATTTCCAGGTATTTCGACAGCGCCTCGCTGCACTTCTCCACAATGTGGACCATCTGGAGGTAGCTGGCGGCAGTCAGGTACTTCAGGAGCTCCTTCCTCTTGACCTCCAACGCACCCGTGTAACAGGAGAGCAGCAGCTTCCTGCCCACCTCGGCGCTCTGCAGGATGGTGATTCGCACCTGCCTGGACTGGTTGAGCAGGAACTGATCCCTCATGAACGTGGAGCAGGCGGCAAAGATCACCTTGTGCCCGTGGAACTCGGTGTCGTTGATGAAAATGGAGACGTCGCAGAAGAGGTTCTGCTGCCGCAGGAGGTTCATTTTCTGCAGCACCGCATCTCCCTGCTGCTCGAACTGGAAGCGCAGCACCTCCGAGTCCGCGGCCATGGCGCCGGGCCTGCGGGCCGCCCGCCCCGGGGCCGAGCTCTCTTCGCCGGTGCCCGCCGAGCGCAGGCAGCGCCGCCGGCAGCTCAGGGCCGGGCCGGACCTCGCTCGGCCGCTCACCCGTCCGCCCACCCCCCGCTCCCCGGCCGCTCCCGGTGCCGCTCCGCCGCCGGTACCGCAGAGCCCAGCCACCCGGAAGCGCCCCCCGAAGCCCCGCCCCTTCCGGCAGCGCGTCCCGCCCCGCGCCGGTGGGAAATGAGAGGCGGTGCGGAAGTTAGCAGCACGTTTATTACAAGACTTGGCACTGCTACAGCGGCACGGCGCCACCCGCCCGGGAGAGGTAGCAACGCAGTGGCCCCGTAAGGCGCTCGGGAGGGCGGAGGCGCAGGGCCCCGGGGCGGCCGAGAGGAACGGGCAGCGCCGGCTCCTGCCGCCGGGCCCGGCCCCCCCAGCCTGCTTTGGTAACGCTCGGGATGAGCCTCCCGCCCAGTCTCTGGAGAGGTAGCTGATGCTCGGTCCGTCGGCTGTAGGCCCACGGGAAAGCGCTCATTCAGTGAGTGACGAGAGCCGGCGGTTCACCTGTCCACCTCCTTCTCAAAAACCGCGTTATAACGCGAGCTCCCAATCCTTTCCACGGTTTCAGCTGGTGTCACACTCTGATTCTCGCTCCTCACCTTTATTCCTCCCAGCGGCTCCAGAACCAGAACCACAACCAGCCCCATGGAAGCATTAAGTTCCTCTGAGAGGAGTTCAGCGGCAGCTATCGGTTTTGCCAAGAAGTCAGGGGAGAAAGGCTGACATTTCAATCGTATCAGTTATGGACTCGCAAAACAGGCCCTCTAAACGAAAAAATAAGGAAAGACTCATCCCTGATCCCTGCAGGAGGCTGTGCAGCTGCACCACGTTCTGCAGGAAGACATGCTACGTGAGCTACCACCGCTCAGTGAGGTGGTGAGCCCCAACCTCGTAAATCTAAGACTTCTAAGAATTCTATGTCAAATAAATAAAATGCCAACATAAAAATCCTAATATATTCAAGAAGTTATTAAAATATTTTTGTAGTAGACCAGATATTTTTAGGATATGCAGGACGTTGTACAGCACATTAAGTTGTGAGACTATCCACTTACCAGCAAATAGTATTCTACACATTAACACACAGATTATGATAACTGCCATAGTCCTTATCTGAATATGCAGCATCAGCAGCAACAACCACTGGATCTAGTCTTTCACTAACTGGAACAATGCAATGAAGACAACATTTTACATACATGGACAATTAAGTTCATCTTACTCTAAAATCAAGCTGCCCCTGTATATTCTGTTTATAGTAATTCTCACTCCATTTTAATCTAATCCAGGGACGAGGCAGTATCCAGGTTTTGCTTTTCCAATATCTCTGTTACACTCTTAACTTCTCTGCTCCACATAGGGGCAAATCTTACATGAAATCTACCAGAGCACTTCACATTGCGCTCATCAGCACATTGCCCTCTTAGATCTCCACTGCTTCTGGATTTACACAGCTGTCTCCTGCACAACTCTTGGTCTGTATCCCTTTGCCAAGCCAAAAGCACAAACATTTGTAAGTCACCTTTCATCCAACAGACGTGTTTCATTTTCAATGAAGAAGCAGTCTTCTGCATTTCTGCTTTTTCCTATTTTTTTCTGCCATGATCTCACCACATGGTCACAAGCAGCCTTTTAAACGAGTAGCCAGCAGTCTCAGCCTTTTCACAAGTTGGTATCACCACAGTGCAGGGTGGACAGAAAACTCATATATCTTGATCAAATCATTATTAGTTTCTTAGGATAACCTCTCATCTCTTCGTTTCAGCTTCAGGTCACCAATGGCTACTTCAGCAAGCTGTATCCTCCTTGCAATAACATTAAAGCTTTGAAATTCCATGAAGAAACTTTCCAGACAGACCTCCTAATAACATCCATTTTCTTGGCATTCGTACAGTTTTATTCCTTTCTCTGGCAGAAGACCATTCTCTTTATTATGTCCATATTCGTATATTGTTAGATTTTCCACTAATCCCTTACAGCACGTTGGCCTGGCTCTGCAAAGTTCTTACTCTCCATACCTATCTTCTTTTTGACATCAGAGCTATAACTTATTTCCACATAATGAATAACATTATAAAAACTTTTTAACGATGCAAAAGATTCTGCCCAAAGTCAGAATGCAAGTGTCAGATACAACCGTCATCATCTGTTTTAGCTCAAAGTTATTCTGAAAGCAGATAACTTCAGAGGAAAAGGTTTTTTTTTTTCCCATGCCTACCTATTTTCTGCCCCAAGAACCTGAATTTTTTAAGTTCCAAAAAGTTACATTTTTGGCCTAAATATATTTGCTACAACTTGAAAGATATAATGCCCTAACTCCATTTCCACTGCGTATTACTTCATAGCTGTCCATGTAATAATAGTTAATGTAACAGTCAAGTACAGTAGTTCAAAAACTCAATTGCAAAAACGGATTCACAGAATCACCTTGCTTTTCTACTCGAAGGTATGTGGATTTCTGAAAATGGTCTGCAAGATTAACACATTTTTACCATTCATCAGTGTCAAGTCTGCATAAGGAAATCCTGGTTTCTACATACACATATCTGAAGACCAAGACCAACTTTTGATAATTACGTACAAAACATTTTTCTGCTCTAACACACCTTTGGTCATACCTGTTGAGCATTTTTAACCATACAATAGCAGCCTCCCCCCTATCCCTACCCCTTCATTCAAACACACAAACAATACTACTTTTAGGTAGGAAGCATAATCTCAGCCTCATGGCAAACCTTGAGGAAAAGAGCTGCACTGGAAGAAATACTTATTCCAAACATAAACAGCAGTTCTCTACCAAGGATCAGCCACTTGATTATCAGTCTGTGCTACACTTCAATATAAGAATGCTGTTCTACTGGGAATGGTGTTTAGCAGATGAGAAATTCGTTTCTTTCAGCCTGACTGGGATGTGGGGAACTCCATGGCACTTTCGTGAAGTAATAATCCCAAAATCCCAACTAATATGCCATTCCCACAACATCTGATGTTTAAGGCGGTATACATGAGGTATTGCTAAGTACAGTCGATAGCTGATAAACTAACCTATGGAAATTATGCTACCTGTACCTCATCTTAGGCTCTGTAAAATGCTAATGGGCATGAATTATGTGGGTCACTTTAAAGAAAAGCATCCTTTCAGTATCCAAGAAACAAAAAACTTCATGCTGTTAATGTTTTTACCTACCTATGGCAGGTACTTTTTTCTTTTTTTTTTTCATATTAACTGACATGTGGCTCTTATTAGTTCTCAAGGAGACATACACAAGAGTTAAGGGGAAAAAAAAGCATGGAGTTCCTATACATTGCAGCTTCTGAAACAGATTCTTTTCACAGTGTCACTCCAGCTTTGCTCTAAAACCAATCAGGAAAGTAGCAACTGTTGTGGTTATCTGAAACAAAACTTATGCAAGATAGATGACAACTTCTAGTTTTGAAGTGCTTACCTTGAATCAGTCCATACAATGGTAAGTGCCCTTTGATACTTCTGTGTATGACAGCTTATGAAACAGGTCATACCTGGCACTCCAGGTGCCGAGCTCACACATTCCAGAGCTGCAACCTACTCTCATTTTGAACAGTTCTATGCAATGATCAACTAACCCTGCCAAATCATTCAGGGCTTCACCTTTTCATAATGCATGCCAACATTAAAAACCCTGAGAGCTTTTAAGATAGTGTTAACTGGCAGCAGAATTGTCTTGAAATAGTTTAGAAAGGGAAAAAAGTGACATAGATATACTTCATTTCGACTGTAGGGGTCTAGGGGTAAGATCAGACAAAAATAACGTTAAGAGGTAAGTTTAAAACAAATCAGCACTATGTGGAGTGCTTTCAGTGATCCAGTGCTTTATAATATAACAATTGGGTTATCTCACACACTTGTCCTCTTTGCTCTTTCCTCCATCTGCCCAGACACAGAGAAGCCTCTAACTGTACAGCAGATGGTTTACTTGCAGCACACAGCAACAGTCTTTCAAAAGGTGTTAGTCTTGAGTCTCCTAATCAGAGAGAAATGAAACAATTAACCCCTTAATCCACAGTAGAGACACAGACAGAAACCTGAAGGAAGATTGTTATTCACAGAAAATATCAAGTAAGACTAAGAACGATGGCTGAAGACCTGCCAGGTTTTGCAATCCAACCCTCCATCAGAAGCCTTTCAGAGCATACCACTAGTTTAGGTAAGAGCCCAAGCCAACTGTTTGCTCCTCTCAGTCATGATCCCTACAAGGGCTGTTTTTAATTGCTTAATTGACACAGGTACTATCATTTCTTAAACTGAGCACAGCCTGAGGCAGCTTCCCTGCATCCAGTACCTGGCTTCCATCGGCCTGCTGACAGACCTTACTGTCTGTAGCAGCGCTACATGTGAATGAATCGAAGTCCACCGTTATGTCTTGAACATTTCTTTCATTGGCATTGTCAAAGCTATTTTTACCATGTAGCTGTTTAAGATGTTTCCTCAGAACGGGCTTATGCGCAAACACCATGTCACAGTAGTTACACTTATGGGGCTTGTCCCCACTGTGCAGGTTGAGATGGTCCTGTAAGGAACATTTCTGAGAGAAGGTTTTCCCACAGATCTTACATTGGAACGGTTTGATGCCTGCATGCACTCTCATGTGCCGGTGGAGATTGCCTTTCTGAGTGAATGTCTTGCCACAGAGGAGACACATGAATAGTTTATGCATCTTTAAGTGATTAGCATAGTTTTCTAGATGCCGAAATACTCTTGTGCACTTTGGACACTGATGATGCCACTGGAGGCCTTTGTCTATACCACGGTTGTTAGACCCAAACATATCTTTAGAGGCCAGAATGATGTTATCACTGCCAGCATATGAAAGGGCATAATTGTGGAGGTGGTTTTGCTCTATTTCACTTGCTCTGTTTTCAACAGTGGAGTTGATTAGAAAGTGTTGAGGTTCAGAGGAATGCAACGCAGTTTGTTCAGAAGAAATAAACTGGTTCTGATCCTTCTTGCTCCTAACTTCTGTTACCTCCCCAATGGACTCCACCTTGATAATCTGAATATCACTATCCTCCATGTCCATACTGTCTTCCGAAGGTTGAATACAAGGTGAATCTTGTGGCAGAGAGTCTTCATCTTCCCCATGTTCCTTCAGCTCAGAGGAGTCACTCTGCTGTTCACACTCCTTGCTCTCCAACGGCTGCTTCGGTTTTATGAACTTCCAGAGTGCCTGCGTGCATCGTTCAACAATGTGGCTCATCTGCAGAAAGCTCGCAGCAGTTAAGTAGTTTACCAGCTCCATTTCAGGAAACTCCAGAACTCCGCTGTAACAAGACAAAAGCAGCTGCCTCCCTACTTCCGAACTTTGCAGGATAGAGATTTTTACATCTCTAGAGTCATTCAATAAGAACTGATCTCTTAAAAAGGGAGAGCCAGCAGCAAACACAATTTTATGCCCATGAACTTCAACATCGTCTATATGGACGACAACATCACAAAATTTGTTTTCTTCTCTCAGTTTGTTCATTTTCTGCAACATCGAATCACCGTAATTATCAAACTTGAAGTGAAGAATATCTGATCTTTCTGACATTTTGGCACACCTAAAGGAAAGCAGCAAGGAAAAAAAAAAAAACAAAACAAGTGAGAATGCTTTGTTTTGTTTCCAGAACACAAATTAGAAAAGTCTGTGTTTACATTGCCCTGCAGTACCTTTAAAAATATCAATGCAGTTTGATTACTAAATAGAAACAAGGACAGATATTCTCTTGAAGCAGTGTTCTAAAGAGTTACAATGTTTTCCACATTACTTGTGGAATTTAAAGGGAAATCACGGAAGTATTTTAGCAGTCTTAGCAGTTGTACAGTTTTGCTTCCACATTAAAATTCTTTATAGATTTTTGTCTTCTCCAAATACAATGACAACCCTTCAGCATTTGGGTTCTTTGTTTACTTTCATGTTA